CCTTTTCATAATCATGGTCGACCGCATCTGGCTTTCAAGCGATCTTATTTCTGTTTTATTTGTGCGAAACTAACACTGGTCGACCGCTTCTATTTATGAGGTCGACCGAATCTGTTTTGCACTCAATTGCTACGAGCATTTGAGCCATTTCTTTTCGTTTTAATTTAGCCGAGGTCGACCTATGAAGGCAAAAGTTCGAGTTGTGCCGTTGTCTTTGAATTATTTGTGCGAAACTAACACTGGTCGACCTCTTCTATTTATGAGGTCGACCGGATCTGTTTTGCACTCAATTGCTACGAGCATTTGGGCCATTTCTTTTCGTTTTAATTTAGCCGAGGTCGACCTATGATGCTTCTAAGGTCGACCTATGAAAGCAAAAGTTCGATTTATTTGTGCTAAACTTATTCAGGTCGACCTGTGATGATATTGAGGTCGACCTCGGGCCATTTAAATCGATTGAAAGACAATTGTTACTTTCAGAAGGAGTGCAGTGCAGGACATTAGGCCACCTTGCAATGCACTCGAAGACACAAACGTTTGTGTCTTCGAGTGCATAGCAAGGTGGTCTAATATCCTGAACTGCACTCCTGCTGAAAGTCACAATTGGCTTTCAATCGATTTAAATTTTCCGAGGTCGGCCTATGTTTTTTCTGAGGTCGACCCATTCTCGTTTTAAATTAACTGAGGTCGACCTATGATTCTTCTGAGGTCGACCCATTCTCGTTTTAAATTCTTTATGGAGTGGTCGACCGCGTATTGTTCATTTCGAAAATGTGACTAACGTGTATTCTTGCTTGTTTAATCGCAAGAAAAGAAAGTCACAAAAAGCTGCTGCCTCAAGTTCGGAATGGGAAGAGTTCAATCCCAAACTGTTACAGACCAAGGATCAAAGTGACAACTATGAAGAGATGAGAAATGGATACGTATTGACGACGGATGCGTATTCTCATTTCGAGAATTACGGGTTTCTGGGACCCTTCATCGAGCAAGAGTGGCTGAAGTTGATATCACTCAATGTATCATACTACCCAAAACTGGTACAATACTTCTACAACAACATCGTCTACGAGAAAAATGCAAATGGATCCATTCATGCATTCAAATCCTATGTGAATGGGGTGGCGATGCGCATCAGCAAGAATGTGTTGGCGCAAGTACTTGAGGCTCCAAACGAGGAGAAGAGAATCAATTCTTACGGTGCTTGGAATGAAACGCATTTCACGAGAGCCAAGCAAATCCAGACGGTATGTGGTATTGATGAAGAGGAAGATGCTCAGGGGCGTAATAGGCCAACGAGTAACCACCTGACAGTTCAAGCCAGAGTTCTTCACCACATGCTTTCCTACAACATTCTGCCAAAGGGTGGACATCGGGAGACAGTCACCTACTTGGCTACTTCGACATGGAGCTCCTCACCAACCTACTGTTAAACGAGAAGGTGAACTTGTCATACTTGATCTTTAACCACATGCTTACTGCTGCAGAGAGTTCAAACAGGAATCTTCCCTATGGGATGATCCTCACTATGCTATTTGAGCATTTTAATGTGAATTTAAGTGAAGAGGTGGGGTTAAGAATCTCAAGGCAGGAGTTCTATACTGTTTCATCTCTGAAAAAGATGGGCTTTGAGCTGCGTAATGGTGAGTATGTCAGAGTAAACAATGCTCATGGTGGTGGTGATGATGATGATGATGATGATGATGATGATGATGAAGGAGCTCGAGACGAGCCAATGACGGAGGGACAGAGTTCAACTCCACCGATCACCTTACAGCGTGTGTGGGAGCGCATGGATGGCATGTACGAGTACATGGGCCAGATGTCCACCCAGATGACTGGCATGCACGACTACATGGGGCAAATGACCGCCCAGATGAGCACAATGCAGGTGACCGTGAATGAGATGCGAGATGAGTGGCGATCTTTCAGCGGAAGATACATGCATCCCACCACATCCGACCACCATCATGCTAGCACCACCAATGAAGAAAATGTGGATGAGAGAGAGGAGGAGATGAGTAGGAGAAAGGAGATTTTATATTGTGTGTTTTAGTGGTCAAAACGATTGTTGATTGTTATTCTGTTGTTCTTTTAGTTTTATTTTTATGTGTGAACAATTATGATTTCTGCTTTATTTTTAGTTGTTATGCTATGAATTGATGAGTCCTTGTTATAATTATTTATGACTAATTATGATGGTTTGAAACATACTTTATACGATTAAAAGAACCACACAAATCGACATACATAAGCAAAAAAGACACGGAGCATAGGGTGACTTTCTTGTATTCGGTCGACCTCGTACCGGATTAGGTCGACCGCGAAACCAACACTTGATCTTCATTTTACGTCAAATAATTGGACACTTTGATAGAACACTTATCTTCTATCTGGTCGACCTCTTTCCTTATCCGGTCGACCATTTTGTTAATGACTGCCATCAAGTGGTCGACCTATATACCTTAGGTGGTCGACCATGTTGTTTCTGACGCCAACGAAATGGCCGACCCAGGTTTTATTCAGGTCGACCAAAAATAACAACTTAAACTAAGTGCGGTCGACCAGGTGGTCGTTGAGGTCGACTGCAATGCTTTCTCGTGCTGTCCAAATTAGTCGATTCGGTCGACCGCCTTCAGCAATAGGTCGACCGCAAAAGTACATGTCACCGTGACATGCATGTCATAGTAGGCATACCCAAAGTTTAGAACCGTCAAAACCATCAATATCTTATACCCTAACCATATACACCCTAAACCATATGTACCTTATATCTTATACCCTAACCATATACTTTATATCGTAAACAACGAATCGTCAAAGATTACTTATCAAGTTTAGTATAAATTGTTGTAACTAATGGTTAATTTATTTATTAGCCCATAAAAAATTACATACATATATACATATTAGCCTTCAAAGCATATAAGAATAATTTTAACTAGTCATGCCCTCCATATAAAAGTTAAAGATTCATATTTCAAAAGCTAAAATTATGAAAAACAAAAAAATTGAAAACACCAAATTTGTTTCTTTTTTTCTTTTCACAAAAATACTAAAATTTTCCTCCTTTCTCCTTCCATACAATAGAAAAACTCAATTTTCCCTCCTCTTTCCCTTCCATAAAATTGAAAAAACCAAATTACCCTCTTCTTTCCTTCTACAAAAAAGTTGAAAAGCCAAAAGTTTCCCTCCTTATTTCTCTTTCATAATCAAAATAATCAAACTTTCCCACTTCTTTCTCTTCCCACATATCAAAACCACCAAAATTCCCACTTGTTTCTTTTCTAAAAAATTCAAAGAACCAAATTTCCCTCTTCTTTCTCTTCCCGAAAACTTGAATACACCAAATTTTCCTCTTCTTTTAAAAACATCAAATTACCAAATACATTATTTTGCTTTATTTATATTTAATTGATAATTTTATTGAATAGTTAAATTAACCAAAATTTTAATTTATATACTATATTAATATTGTCATGATCTCAAGTGACCTTCATGTTTCAATTTTTGTAATTTTCTTAAAATACGTAATATCAAGTGAGTTTCATATTTTTAAAATTTCTTATACGAAATGAAAAAATAATTTTACTTAAATTTAGAATGAAAAACTATGTATTGTATATATTTTTAATTATTCAAGTGGATTAGATGAAATTCGGGTTGAGTCGGTCGGGTTACGGGTTAGTCGGGTTACGGGTTAATCAGGTTCGGGTCAGTCGGGTTGCGGGTCAGTCGGGTTGCGGGTCAATCGGGTTGCGGGTTAATCGGGTTGCGGGTTAGTCGGGTTGCGGGTTAGTTGGGTTGCGGGTCAATCGGGTTGCGGGTCGGGCGGGTTACGGGTTGTTGACTTTTGTCAATTCGGGTTGCGGTCGGGTTGCGGGTCGGGTTGATCGGGCTATGTTTTGACACCTATAGGGAAAACCGAGCAACCGGTTCGGGAGGTTAACCCCTTCGATCGCTCGCCGACCGCTCCAGAAAACTGTTCCACCTGAATGACTGATACGAGCCGGTTTTGCGAGCGAGTGGCAGTTTTAGCGATCCAATCAGTTCGGCTCTGTCTTAATAACACTTATTTTTTTCCTTATAACATAAATTTCGACATGCATTGATAATTTTGACACTCTCAATCTCAGTAAATAACAAAGATGCAAAGTCAAAGCATCCCAACTTTCAACATAACGTCATAAACATTAACATGTCATATGGAGACATGATTGTCTTCACTCTTTGGTGAAATGTGATTGTGAATGAAGGAGGGGACAAGATTCTCAAAATTAGGGTTGAGACTTGGGTCTCATTGGGGGAAGTTGGCAGAGTGGTCGGATGGGTCTTCGCTTTGTTCCAGTAAATTGTGGTCTAGGCCAGACCTGACTAAGACTAAGAGATCAAAAAATATCATATAGTACAAACCATGGATCATACCAGACCATTCTTAAATGTTTATGGTCTGGACCAAATTATGCGGTTCAGTTTGATGCATGATTTTCAAACAATCCAATTTATTTTTACCAGCCTAAAAACTAATTTAATAGAGACCGGAAGACAAGGTGCACATATCTGTCATGCTACAGGACGAGCATGAGGCTTGAGGGGCACCCTGCCACACCCAAGCTATACTCTACACATGTATAGCACTCTCAAAATTCAGGAGTTTAGTTAACTACTTTTTTTATAAGAGTGATATATGTTACTTTTTTGTGATTAGATACTATTTTAGTAGGAATTCGAAAGACCTCTAGATTTAAGACTAGTGGTATTAATTTGGGGAGTGGGTTACTAGTGCATGGGCCAATAGGGATTGCTAGAAGCTAGTCAGAGGCCATGCTAGGGTGCCAAGTTGGGTAGGGTTGTGGCAGTACTTCGCTGCCGTTAGGGTTATGTATTAGGTTTTCTCGCCTATGTATTTGTAATTACGACATTAGTATCAATCACCAAAATTATAAAAAAGAACATATTTCCGACACACTACATCTTACTCTTGCTTGTAAATTACAAGCAAAACAATTCAAGACAGTTTATCAATTGCACTAGTGCTTAAGGTTCTCAGCTGACCTAGCAAGTCGGTACCGCCACCTTGGGCAGGCCAGGCTTGCTTGCTCAAGGTCTAGCATGTGTCAGGTTGAAATGTACAATAGTTCATGAGAGCCATCCACTTTAGGAGGTGCACTCTAAAGCCTTGCCCTCGAAGGAAACCTCTGTCCACATCAATTATAAATTCTATCTGTTTAAGTCATTCCTTCCATAACTCCAGTATCTGGTAGCCAATTTGTTAACGCAGTTTTTTCAATCTTCTTTTTTCAAGTCTTCCAAATTTTCAAAGTTGAATTGACAGAGGTTCGCATTTCTATAGTTACTTAAAACTTAGCTAGAATAGAGACTCCTGAGGTAAAGCCGTCTCTCCTGCAAGAAAAGAGAAAGGCAATGGATTCGAGAATTGAGAGAATTTCCAATCCACAAAAGGCACAGAGAGCCTCTTTGCCCTGTAAACGAAGCTCCCTAATAGTAAAGCTGGAAGAAGGGATGAGCAGTTTTGCAGTTGCAGGTTGAGAGTGAGGAAGAATAAATGTACCTGTGTACTTTCTCTTATCATAGCTCGAAACTCAAGTTGGGGCAGTGAGGTTGTTAACATCTCCAAAATCACTCCACTATGAATGCGCCTGCAGCAACTGATCTAGAATAGGATTTAGAATCAATGGGAGAAAGAGAGAAAAAAAAAGGGGGAGAAAATTTGATCACTCTGCCAAATTGTTCCAAAAGAAGCATCGAGAGGTAAAGCATGAGACGATCAACACGCACCAGCTAAGTCATCCATAATCCCAAGAGATCGCCATGTTTCACTTCCGTTCCCTTGTTGAGGATGACCACTACTTACAAGCTGTCGAACTTCGCCAACACCAAAATCAGAGGCCAAACCGAAAGCAGATATGAGCTGCAACAGGCCCAGGATCTCCAGTGAAGTTGCTGGCTTCATCATCATTCTTGCCTTCCATTCCTTAGCTAGCTTCATTGCCTCTCCTCTCACATCATCTGTAATCCATGGTCTGATTTCCAGCAAGTGTTCCAGCAGAGTAATGCAGCTTCTCCTTGTGACAGATAAATCATAGTCCATATCTCTGTTCTGCGAAGCCGGACGATGGAAGCCATTCATTGCTTCTAATACCAACTTTGCAGGCTCGATTGAGTTTTGAATCACAGAAGAGATTTTACTTTGGAGTATATCATTCTTCCGAATATGCTCACCCAGGAGCAACTGCAGATCTCTAGCGTTACCTGCATCCAAAAGCTTCATATACAATATGGTTAGTACCCAGAAACATACGAAGCGCTGAAAAATGACACCATCCTTCACTTACTTGATCTGTTCCAAACGCTTGATATTGTTTCAGTTTCCGCTCCAGCTTTACCGTTGAATCTTCGACATGTTTCAAATGTTCTTCCTTTGATTTGAGCTCTTCAGTGGTAAGTGCAATCTTCGATTTGATTTCCTTTAGTAGCTTCCATTTCACATCAAGAACTTTGTTTTTAGCTTCAATGGTCTTTCGTATATCTTTCAATTCCCTCTCTTTGAAGGTAAGAATTTGACAGCACTCCTTCATTTCATCATTGACATAATAGAGTGCCTTCTCTTTTGCCATGGAATCACGAATAGACCGCTCAAGGGACTCAAGATGCTTCTCATTAGAGCGGAGCTCCACCGAAATCTGAGCAACAGACCTTCTTACTGCCTTGTACTGATTCTCTCTGTCCTCAAGTTTTAGGTTGGTTTCTGTAATCAACTCCTCAACGGAATGCAGACAACGTTCTTTTTCAGCAAGCTCTACTTGTCTTCCCTGAAGGGAGAGCAGGGTTCTTTCTAGCTCCGTCTTATAATCCTTAATTCTTTCACCCAGCATAGCTAACTCTGCCTCCTTAAAACGCAGCTCCTCTTTAAGACCCCACATCTCATTACTAACACGATTATCATGACCCAAGTGAACTTCATCATCAGATCTTTGTTTCTTAGAATTAATTTCCTCCTCATGGATGACTTTTCGCTTTGGAGAAATTTCAGATGCTGTGTGACCAGCAGAACTTTCAATCGTGGCATGCAAATGATTTGGCTTAGAAGAATCACTCGAGGAACTATTTGTTTGGGCTTGGTTCACATCTTTACTAGCAGCCATAAGCTTCTCAGAAATCTTAATGTCAACACCCATGCCTGCAAATGCTATGTGACCAGCGGAACTTTCAATCGTGGCAAGCAAATGCTTTGGCTTAACAGAATCACTCGAGGAACTATTTGTTTGGGCTTGGTTCTCACCTTCACTAGCAGTCATAAGCTTCTCAGCAATCTCAATGTCAACACCCGTGCCTGCAGTTACCTTAGCACTTCTCTTGCTCATATCCCTGGGTGGTGCTCTACTTGGCTCAATCTCATCCCTGAATGTAGTACTGCAACGTTTCTTACGAGAACCAATGTTCTGCCTCATCTGGAATGATGAATTCGATCCATTGATAAATGGTACTACTGCTGCCAATCCACATACAATCCTCCGCTTTTCAGTCTCACTCTCACTCTTGCTTGGCCGAAAGAGATCCCCAGATGCCCTCGCAGGTTCCGGTTTATAACCCAGAACCTTCTCTTCTTCCTGTCCATCAACCTCGAAAATGCATCTAGGTAATGAAGCAGGATCAAGATCAAAAGACCCGACAGGAACACCATGTCTTTCCAACCCAGTCATTCTGCAGGAAGGAATCTGATGCGAAAATCTGTACATTTCATCTGAAGGTATGCAAAATGAGCTATTAACCTTACTATCACCCAATTGATGAAAGATGGAAATAAAACCTTTCACTTTCCTCAGACAAGCAACCTTAACACCAACTCCTTCCCTAAAATCCGATATGATTGCAACGAGAACAAACTTGTATGGTGGCCTATGTCTTTCTGGTTCACATCCCCATTTCATATCCCAATCCCTGAACAGAGCCCAAGTCTCCCCTTTCTTTGGGTAGACTACATAAGTGCCCTGGCACTTTCCCCTTCTACAATCCACTTGATGCGAAAATATCTGAGCATCCACGACTTCTTCAGTGTCCCCCAACTCGAATCTACCACACGAGATAGGCAAATCTCCATCAACCCAATCTTGCTCCGCTTTCTTATTTGGACAAGGCTCAAGCCATGTTATCTCGAGCTTGAACCCCGGAGAAAGCAGTTTCGTGACGCGAGCATAGAATCTCGGCATACAATCCTGGTTCGCGTATAGAGCCCAAGTTTGATTCACACCAAAGCAGTGTTCAGCTTTTTCCTTCTCAAAATCGCTGAACTCCGCGTCTTGACAATGGTATACCTCCTCCGGTTCTTCCTGTTCTCCATCTGTCTCCGATTCTATTTCGTTTTCGCTGTTTTCTCCCCCGATCATTCTCGCAATCATCTGTAAGCAAAAAGCAAAATAAAAATCCTCGAGCGGTTACCACTTCTAGCGAAGCAGAAACCCTAACTAACTACACGAGTTACTCAACGGCCAACGCCAAAGCACTAGGAAAACGAAAACCATGAGCAGCAGAAGCCGCCGCCGTAACCACCGTAACCGCCAAAAAAGTAGATGGAAAATGAAACAAACAAAAAAATACAGAGCAAAGCGATATCCATGAGCAACAGGAAATGAGCTTGGGAAACATGCTTACCCGAACGGCGAGGCAAAAATGTGAGAAGCGGCGACAGGGGGAGCGAGAATGCACTAGATTATGGGGGCGAGAAGGCTATCGGTCAGAAGCGAGGTGAGAATCTAGCGATTCCCGAGATGGTTGCGACGAAAAATGGCGCCGGCGAGCTTTCGACGATGGCTAGAGAGAAGGGAGGAGGAAGGAAGAAGAAGCTGCTGAAGCGGGAAGGAGCAAGGGGAGAATGAAGGAAAAGGAAGTGTTGCATAAATGAGTTATGAGTCTACCCCACTGCCATAGTGTGTCTTTTCAAAATCATTCAAAACATATTGTTTTGATTGGGGAAAAAAAATATTTTTTGAATGTCAGCCAAACGACAAAAGAATATTAATAATAGGACAAAATTTTGCAGCGGTTCTGGACTTCTGGTTACGGGGAACTCCTGCTGCTATACACGTGTTCAAGCTATATTGGGGCATTTTCTTTATTTGTTAAGGATAGTAATAGGGCTGGTTGGTTTAGGACGAATTTTCTAAACCATTTCCATGCTGGTTTTCCGAATATCAAAATCATATCCACCCACACGAGAAAATATTAGGTACACCGGGAGTACCACGTAAGATGGGTGATGTGGTACTCCCGACGAATCAGAGCCTGCTACATGTACACCTATGTAATTATTAGTTAATTAATAAGCACTTTCCAAATGAATTCCTATCACAGCAACATTCCTCTCTCGCACACTAATCCCAATCCAAATTCCCAATCTTCCATGTACTCTTCTTTTCCAGGAAATTAGGCGGCAGCGCGTTTCACGCACACCGGCCAGCGCCGCCAAACAATTCGCTGGGACTCCTCTCCGGCGCCAACATCACTCACCTCTCCACCACCGACAACGCTCTTCGCCCTTCGAAATCCAGAATGATTGGTCTGGCCGGCGGCCACTTATGGGTTTGGACCCTTTGTGTTACCGGCGACGCCAGCTACAGAGGCTTTTGGTTAGGTGTCTCAAGTCTGTCTTGTCTGTATTGAAACAAGCGACCTAAATTTCTTCTTCCAATTATGTAACTACTCTTTTTATGTGTGTTGCTTTTTTATACTAAAAACAAAGGGTAAAATATTTCACCAAAAAAGTAACATAACTTATTTAAACACTATAATAACTATCATAGAAACCAAACGATGTAAACTACAATACATCAATTTTCTTGAGCCCTTCTAGTGTGCTCTATAGCACCCATGCTATAAAAAAACAAAAAAAAAAGGTGACCTGTTGAGGAGGTAACCCACTAAATGACTGGTCCCACATCATTAATGGCAATCTTGTAAATAATGAATCAATGTATACAAGTGTAGGTACAAATTAGAGTTGTACCATATAGTATAGGTACAAGTTTCAGCTGTACCATTGAAGAATTTGTTTCACAAAGTGTAGGTACAACTTAAAGTTGTACCATTAGTATAGGTACAATTTTTAGTTGTACCATAAAGGGATTTGTTAGAAAGTGTAGGTGGTACAAGTTCGGGTTGTACCATAAAAGAATTTTGAGAAAGTGTAGGTACAACTTAAGGTTGTACCATTACTATAGGTACAATTTTGAGTTGTACCATAAAGAGATTTGTTAGAAAGTGTAGGTACAACTTAAAGTTGTACCATGGTATAGGTACAAGTTTGGGTTGTACCATAGAAGGATTTTTAGGAAGTGTAGGTACAACTTAAAGTTGTACCATGGTATAGGTACAAGTTTAGGTTGTACCATAGAAGGATTTTGAGAAAGTGTAGGTACAACTTAAGGTTGTACCATTAGTATAGGTACAATTTTGAGTTGTACCATAAAGAGATTTATTAGAAAGTGTAGTTACAATTTAAAGTTGTACCATTAGTATAGGTACAATTTTTAGTTGTACCATAAAAGGATTTGTTAGAAAGTGTAGGTACAACTTAAAGTTGTACCATGGTATAGGTACAAGTTTGGGTTGTACCATAAAAGAATTTTGAGAAAGTGTAGGTACAACTTAAGGTTGTACCATTAGTATAGGTACAATTTTTAGTTGTACCATAAAAGAATTTTGAGAAAGTGTAGGTACAACTTAAGGTTGTACCATTAGTATAGGTACAATTTTTAGTTGTACCATAAAAGAATATTGAGAAAGTGTAGGTACAACTTAAGGTTGTACCATTAGTATAGGTACAATTTTTAGTTGTACCATAAAAGAATTTTGAGAAAGTGTAGGTACAACTTATGGTTGTACCATTAGTATAGGTACAATTTTTAGTTGTACCATAAAGGGATTTGTTAGAAAGTGTAGGTACAACTTAAAGTTGTACCATGGTATAGGTACAAGTTTGGGTTGTACCATGGTATAGGTACAAGTTTGGGTTGTACCATAGAAGGATTTGGAGAAAGTATAGTTACAACTAAAAGTTGTACCATTAGTATAGGTACAATTTTGCGTTGTACCATAAAGGGATTTGTTAGAAAGTGTAGGTACAACTTAAAGTTGTACCATGGTATAGGTACAAGTTTGGGTTGTACCATAGAAGGATTTTTAGAAAGTGTAGGTACAACTTCATTAGTATAGGTACAAGTTTGGGTTGTACCATAAAGGGATTTATTAGAAAGTGTAGGTACAACTTAAAGTTGTACCATGGTATAGGTACAAGTTTGGGTTGTACCATAGAAGGATTTTTAGAAAGTGTAGGTACAAATTAAAGTTCTATCATTAGTATAGGTACAAGTTTGGGTTGTACCATAAAAGGATTTGTTAGAAAGTGTAGGTACAACATTAAGTTGTACCATAGTGTATAGGTACAATAGTGAATTGTACCATAGAAGATTTTTAGGAAAGTGTAGGTACAACTTTAAGTTTAGTGTAAAGGTACAACTCTAGAATGTGAGATTTTGACGGGCGTGACAATGTCAAGTAGTAGCCGTGAAATTTCCTGGGATAGTGAGAACTGCTCTTTGCATCTCACGGGACATCGCACGGCCGTGATATTTGCCTGAGGAATGAAGCACTGCTTTTTACATCTCACTTGAGTATTTTACGGTCGTGAGATTACCAGTATAAGGTGTCAGATTTCCAGTAGTAGACCTTCACCTGTTGAACTATCCCGTGTACTTATTATAATGGTGTTTCAAACAGAATGGACTTTTTTCCAGAACTTCAAACTTATGAAAAAGATGATTCATAATGTTCTCTAAACCTTGACACGAGCATTACATAGATCCATTCACAATGTTCTCTAGTAACTGTACATCATATCAGATGAGATACCCTGTTAACAAAAAGTAAAACGCAGTCAAAGCATTACATTTGTCTAATAAAACAAGCATCCATAACACGATTAAATCTGTCTAATTAATGCTTAAGTTTAGCTGCATGTAGCCCACACTAGTGCATCATCATATTCTAATTGGAAAACATACAAGCACAAACGCAAACACACATAGCTAAGTACTAAGGACTTTTGTTGGCTCATCTTCACTTCCCATCTTCCTCGTCAGTGCTCTCGTCCTCGTCTTCGTTTTGATGGATTTGCTCATCTTCATTGTCCTCGCTAGAGTCACTGCCATCTTCCTCATTGGTCCCTTTGTCATCTTGATTTCTTTCCTTGTTTTGTTCATTGCCATTGCCCTCGTCGTCGTCCTCTTCACTGCCCTCTTCCTCATTGGTCCCTTTGTCCTCTTGATTTCTTTCCTTGTTTTGATCATCGCCATTGCCCTCGTCGTCCTCCTCTTCACTGCCCTTTTCCTCATTGGTCCCTTTGTCCTCTTGATTTCTTTCCTTGTTTTGATCATCGCCATTGCCCTCGTCGTCGTCCTCTTCACTGCCCTTTTCCTCATTGGTCCCTTTGTCCTCTTGATTTCTTTCCTTGTTTTGTTCATTGCCATTGCCCTCGTCGTCCTCCTCTTCACTGCCCTTTTCCTCATTGGTCCCTTTGTCCTCTTGATTTCTTTCCTTGTTTTGATCATCGCCATTGCCCTCGTCTTCCTCTTCACTGCCCTCTTCCTCATTGGTCCCTTTGTCCTCTTGATTTGTTTCCTTATTTTGCTCATCGCCGTTGCCCTCGTCGTCCTCTTCACTTCCCTCTTCATTGCTTTCCTCGGTTGGCCTAGGAGATAGTTCCCAAGGTGTTGAGAATTTTTTGTAGTCAATCCTCAAGGACCTCATGATGTGATGGTTGCATTTGATGATGTAGCGTCGAGCTTCCTTTTCTCGATCGAGGCGGGAGAGAATGAGTGCATTTTGCTCGAGAATTTGGGCATTCTCCCGACCCAATGCCTCAAAATGGGAAATGTATCTGTCGGTGGATGGTCCGGCTTGAGTCGTAGTTTGGTGATGTTGTGCAGGTTGTTGCGGAGACTCCTCCACCATTTGCTGAACAACATGCTCCGATGCGTTTGCCTCATCTGTTGCAAGAGGTGGAGCAGGATGAGGGAGGCCAACAATGCCTACCACACCATTCTCCTTAACCACCAAACACAGACATGATCAATATCAGAAGCATTAGTTACATTTGCTCAATGTTCAAAAGTAACTAGATTAGTAGGCAATCCAAAACTTGCACAAAATCAATCCTAGATTGTTTGAATCCCGACTAGTTCTGTTTTAGCATTCACTGTGAAAAGGAAAGTATTGGTTGGAACATTTACCTTTGACAACAAATATAGATCCGCAAGGTTTTTTGGGAGATTGGTTGAGTGGACTGGGCAATGGTGCAATGAGAACCCACCGGATCAATGCCAAAATGCCGAGCTAGCCTTGTGATGTAGGCACCTCCATGGATGGTCTTGATTTGTTTGTTGGAGGTCATCTTCTGTAGGGTTTTCAGTATGACTAAACCAAGATGAATTGGGGGATCTTTTACCATAGAGAGGAAAAAGTTCAAATCCCGCTTGGTCACACTCCCCGGGCTCCCCTCTCTAGCTGCCACAGAATGAGCGATAATGTTGTGGATGATACGCCATGGGGGAAGAAGATCATTCCCTTTATAGTGGGCAGTGTCAGACTTTTCCACATGGTTTTGTTTTACCCTTGTCCACATAGCATCGACCAATGGTGCTCTTGGTGAATATACTTTCTCTGAAATCAAACCATGACCTGTAGTGAGAAATCCTGGTGGGTATATCTGGAGTGCCTCTGTGAACTCAGTGATGCTCATCTGTCTCGCCTGTCCGCCAAGGCGAAAAGTTATGTTGTCTTCGGGCTTGTCGAGATGAAACTCGCACATAAACTTGATGGAGAGAGTGCTGAGGAACTCAATGGTAAGCTCTCGGTAGATGACCTCATTGATGGAGAGAACCTCACACCATGCCGGGAGACGGAGGCATGTGAGAACGGGGTCCGCTGCTCTGAGGCGCTCTAGGAGATCCCAATCAATGCATCTTTGCTT